GGGGAGGGTGCCATTCTGGGGAGGTGGCACTGGGGATGGTGGGGGGGTCCCTTAAACGCACCCGCTGTCTGGCTTCACGCGGTGCCTCCTGCTTTGGGGGGATTGGGGGTGGGATAGGGGTGGGATAGGGGATGCTGCTGTGGTCCCCGTGCGCTCTCGGTGTCGGTATTAAACCCGCTGTTGTGTTCTGTCTCTGTTCTGCCCCCTCCCTGCAGAGCTCAGAAGTAAGTGTGCCTGTCTCCCTCGTTCCCATCCGTGTGCATGGTGCCGTGCTGCAAAACGGGGAGGGGGGGTGGGCTGACAGCGTGGGGGCATCCCTGGGAGTCTCAGGGTCCTGCGGAATCTCGGAGCCCCCCGTGCACGGGGTTGGGAGGCTCCGTTGGCTGCATGCTGGGGGCCAGGGGGACCCCACGAGGCAACGCTGACCCCCACTCCCCTTTCTCCCACAGGCTGAGGAGCGTGAAGATGGAGCAGCGCAAGCTGAACGACCAGGCCAACACGTTGGTGGACCTGGCCAAGGTGAGCGCTGCCGGGGAGGGGGGCTCAGCCCCGGGGGCACCCATGGCACGGGGCCGCGTGGGTAACCATCGCCTGTCTGGCCCCCCCCCCCCCCCCCCCCACCTTGGGCCATCCACCTCCAGACCCAGAACATCATGTACGACATGGTCTCGGAGCTGCAGGAGCGCAACGAGGACCTGGAGAAGCGCATCAGCGCGCTGGAGGGGAAGCTGGAGGCGCTGGGGCTGAGCCTGCTGGCGCTGCCGGCGCTCGTCAGCCAAGCCATCGGGCAGCAGCAGCGTGAGCTGTTGGGGAGCTGGGCCCCCCGTCTCTGCCCCGCCACCGCCCCCTGCACCCCCGCCCGCCGCCGTCGCTCCCCTTCCACAGCCCCCCACAGCTCCTCGGACAGTGGGTGACCGTGGCGGGGGGGGGGGGTGCAGGGGTGGGAGGGATGTGCCGGGGTCCCTTATGTCTGGCCATCGTGTGGCTGATTTCAGTAGCTTTGTTCTGTAAAGCCCTCTATAAACTTCCTGCGTTCACTGTGCTGGCGTGAGGCTGGAGCCCCCCCCACCTCCCCATGTTCCTATTGGGGTGGTCTCATGTCTCCCCCTACCCCCCCCCCCCCCC